CTTTCGTATTAAGACTGAAGTCGGTTCTGGTTCGTGTGATGTATGTCCTCCTCACGTGGCGTTGGTCGTTACCTACTGAGCTTGTCACGCTACCTCTCTCTCTCTCTCTCTCTCTCTCTCTCTCTCTTCCTTTCATTTTTTGCTTTAATATCCTTACTTTTATGATAAATGTACAGAGGCAGCCCCATTCAGAGATACTGGCAGAAGTTGGGAACTCGCTCCTCTTCTCCTTCTCCTTCAAACGATGGCTCCGCTAGCTCACACGGGTTAGACGTGTGTCCTCTCTCTCTCTCTCTCTTTTCTTTTAATATTTTATTGGATTTTGATAGACATTTAACCAAATGCAATCACCTTTTTCATAGTTTCATATCTTCAAATTTTTAATCTATTTATTGAATTGCTTGGGTCTTCCTATAATGTGCCATTGTTTGCCTGTTACAAGTTGGGTAGGTCTAATTTTTATTCTGGGACCTTTTAAATTAAATTGCAAGAGCCCCATTTAGTTCAAAGAGTATAGTTTCCATAGTTCCATTCAAAAAATCAATGATATCAATTTTGCATTTGAGCATTTTCTTTTGTCACTGATTTGAACCCTGTTATGCCTTAAGCGAGCTGGGTTCTGAGTTCTCCCCCAATTCGTCCAAAAAATTTTGATGCAGGGGAAATGTATGTTTGTATTTGTTTCCAATACGTGATAGAGCATTGATTTTGTATGTTTTACGGGTTTTTAAAATGCTAAATATTACCAGGTTCATGAGTCTAGCGATGGAGCCAAAGAAAATGAGAAATGCCGAAAAATGTCTGATTACCGGGTTCAGCTTGAACAGGATGTAAGTGTTCTTGCTTTCCTAACTCAAATAAGTCTCCACTAGATATTTGCAAGTTTTTCCAGTTTTGTTCTTTAAGTGAAGCAACTAAGTTTTTTCTGTCTTGCTTTGCATGTACTTATGAGCCCTTTCTTTTTATTTGTGGTGCTTGACTTCTGAATGTGCTATTTAGAAAAAAAAGTGACAATTTCTTTTATTTTTTAATTAGAACACCACTTAGCACATTGATTATTGTTTGCGTAATCAGTGCGTGTGTGCCACATTTCTTTTGTAAAAGTCAAAAAGATATAGTCTGTTACAAAGAGAAAAAAGATAAAGGCTATGTTGAGTTTCAAAAAATGCTGCCAACAAGAAAGGAATAAGAAATGTCCTGTTAATTCTTTGTTTCAGGCTTGTATAAGCCCATTTTGTTCATTTTTCTTCATTGTAATACTCTGTCAATACAATGTAATCAATTAACTAGAGGTATTTTGATTCAACAAATGAATTAGATGTAATTAATGAAGGATGACATTTGACGATATTGATCAGGACTGTGAAATAAAGTTATAGTCAACTGTTATGTGTGTGTTCAAGTTGTGTAGGGAGAAGTAAGATGAACCACATTATTTAACATGAAATGATCAACTATTCAACCTCTGATGCCCTAACTGCATATGCATGGGTGAAAATCTGATCATTAAGTATGTATGGAAAACAGAACTAATTGAAACACCACTGGTAACCATTAGGTTTCCAACTTGTAATTGCCACATGCCATTAACTGCAAGTTTTCATGAAAAAAATCAATGATGTCCATGCCTATATTTTGATCTTCCTTTAGGTTGTTCAGCGCAGGGACTGAATCTGGAATGTAATGTTGCAATAGTCAACACTCAAAACTGTAGCCAACTGAGCTAGTACTCAAATCCCATACCCTATTTGAGGATCATTGTTTCACTCATAGTATATGCTTCCATCAGACTTGCAGTCCCTTCGTGAGTCATGTCGCTTAGGACATAACACCAAGATTGTCTGAGTCGCGTAGAGTAGCAATGCTGGGCCTCTACCCTAGAGTTAATTAGAAACTTTAGGATGCTGTAGATGAAGAGAATACAAGTCTTGATCAAAGGGCTGTCATTTGTTGGGCTTATGGTACTCTATCAGCTTCTCCTGATCTGCCACCTATAACTTTGTTGCCTCGATTTTCCTAATATTTTCCCTATGGCAGAACTACCAAACAGAAAAGAGAAAGTTTGCTTGTGTTTTTAAAACAAGGGGATATGGGAATCATCTTTTTGTTTGCATTGGTGACTTCACCTAGTATATTTTGAGTGCTTTTATGGACTTAGTTTGACATCCCCTGGATCACACTGATTTCATTCCTTGAGATATCACGAAGCACTGAATTCTCGTGCCCACATTACACAATAATTAATGGTTTTGTATTGCAAGATCTAGTTTGAGAGAAGTCTGTTGGGTGTATTTGGGGCATTTTCGCCACTGACCATTACCAGATTTTCTCCCCTCTAGTTGTGTTGAAGTTAACTTTGACAACTTTTCTTTGGAAACTCGGGTCCTCTGAGAGTAGGTACTAGTTTCATGAAAGAAAGTATGGGGGAGATTTACGTGACTTATTTGGGTTCTCTTCATCAGGTGGGTTCAAAAGTACTACAGTTGGAGCACCCTACAGTTGAAAACTAGAAAATATCTAGAAGAATCTCTCTCAATTGTTAGAGGTTTCCCCACCTTGTCTTAATCTGCGAATGAGATGCAGAAATGTTAGACATAGCTGCTGGGATCTCCCAACTTAGGCAGCGATCCTACTCCACCACTCTAGGAAGGGTTTTTAAGGGATCTCAATTTATAAATTTTGGGACGAAATTAATGATTTTCTTTATTTATAACCAACTAGCAATACAACTGTACTTTTAATATAAGGAAAATTATACAAAGAGATTATTTACTTTCAGTACATGGAGATCACAATCACTCTTGTCCGTCAACTTTTAAATCGAGTGGTTGTGAGTGTCTCATTGACTAGACTCAAAGCTCAAAAGGAAATTTCTCGAGCTTGGTGACACACCCCAAGCTATCCAATTTGATATTTGATTGCTAGGAGTAATTATGACATCCTTGTAACAAAGAAAAATCATCTCATAGTATGCAATCCCTTAATATATTTCCTTTGCTTGGGGGCTGTAAATAAGAAATCCCTACTTTAAATCCTAGATTATATATACTCTTTAAGGTTTGAGCCAGATCCCCCAAAAGGTTGGGTTCAAGATCCCTAAAAAGGTTGGGATCAAGATCCCTAAAAAGGTCTGGATTGATATCCCCGACATTTGGGGATTTCGTCTCTAACTTATGCATTATATGGATATTACTCCCAACCATGGTTTTAAAAAAAGGATCGGTGCCCCAAATCGCCCATTTGAGAAACCAGTCCGGATCTGCAGTCCAAATCGGCTGGATGCGGCCTTAGAAAAAATTCAAAAAATATTAAAAACTTTATAAATCTAGCGTATTATTTGTCCCCAAAAAAAAGAAAAGAAGTGGTATTCCATTATAGTTTTTCATTATTTTAATAAAAATAAATAAACATTGTGAATAGATTGGGGGGGTGGGGGAGGCAGAGATTTAAAAGGAGATCAGTTTTATTTTAAATTTTTTGTGAAGGATGTAAAATATACAATTTAATTTTAAAGGAGAGCAATAAATTAGAAGAGCATAGAATATTTTGGTAAAAAAGAAGAAGAAAAAACAACCAACCAACAAAACAAACAAACAAAAAGTTGGATTTGCAATTACCGCATAATGCACAAAGAGAGAAATAATATTGATGAGGGAGAGAGAGACTCGTTCAGAAGAATATTATAGGTAAATTTCTACTAGCGATCTTAAAAGTTTAGGTAATGAGAGAGAGAGAGAGAGAGAGAGAGAGAGAGAGAGAGAGAGAGAGAGAGAGAGAGAGAGAGAGAGAGAGAGAGAGAGAGAGAGAGAGAGAGAGAGAGAGTAGAGTAGTAGTAGTAGAGTAGAGTAGAGTAGTAGTAGAGTAGTAGTAGTAGTAGTAGTAGTAGTAGTAGTAGTAGTACGTA